AAAATTCATATGACTTGATTTCTATCAAATTCATATATTTCTTGTTCAATTTAGTATATGAATTAACACTTTTATCACTTTAGTTGACTTCAATATTATGAGTGAAGCGCTCTCCTCAATACAAAAAAAAAAAAAAAAATCAAATATCAATAATCTACAAAGAAAAGAATGCATAAATTCTAAACATATTAAATTATAAAATTCTTTCAAAAAAATAGCATCATATATTTTATAAAAAAATTCATAAAAAAGAATAATAAAACTAATATAGAAAATAATTCATACAACAATATATATTTTTTGGATATATAGGAAAAAAGACCCATAAAATGAAAACAAATATTATATTTTGTTACAATATAAAATAGGAAACAAAAAGAAAAATAATATTTGGAACTCTTCATTTTAGCAAAAAGAAAATAAAGATATGAAGAGGAGAATATAATAAATTGATGTAGAGAAAAGCAAGAGTTTATATATAAGTAGGAAGATGGAAGGGTATAGAGAAATACTATTTAATATTTAATGCAATCTTTTATTTTTTTGTTTTGAATATTTAAATAGTATTGTCTCTTCATCTCCCAATCCTCGATCTTTTTATCCATCCCCATGTCTTTTTCTACATTTAAGTATCTTAAACGCCTTAACTTTCTATCTTCTATCCTCTATATTTTCTACTTTTTAAGTTTTGATTATTACTAATTAATATGTTGCAAAAAAAAAAAAAATGGAAATAGTCTTGCCTTTTCATCTACCAAAGCATGAACTAATTTTTTTAATATTAATAATTAATAATTAACATACTATTTATTAAATTATTTTTTAGTTAAAAACTTAATTAGCCTTAATTTATTATTTGTATTATATAATTATTATATAATAAATAATTTATATAATAAATAATAAATATATATTATATGTTATTATATATATAAATGCATATCCTATGTCTCTTCATCTCCCAATCCCGAATTTTTTTTATCCATTCTCATGTCTTTTTTTACATTTAAATATTTTAAATGCCTAAATTTTCTATCTTCTTACTTCTATATTCTCTGCTTGTTAAATTTTAATTATTACTAATTAACATGCTAAAAAAAAAAAAGAAAGATGGAAATGGTCTTGCCTTTTCATCTACTGCCAAAGCATGAACTAATACTTTTAATATTAATAATTAACATATTATTCATTAAATTATCTTTTAGTTAAAAAATTAATTAGTCTTAATTTATTATTTGTATAATATAAGTATTATATAAAAAA